CTCGGGCGCTCCGATTGGCTGCTAGAGACTTCTCGCTCGAATGGTGCGGCGAGGCTATGGCGCCGGGTGAAGGCTCCTGAGGAGAGCGGGGCGGGCTTGGGCGGCCGGGTTGGGGCGGGGAATGTGCCCGCGTCTGCGGGTTGCAGGGCTGCTTGCTGGGGTCGAAAAGAGTGTCATCACATCCACACGTGAGGGTTTTGGTTTGCTTGTTTTGTTTTGTTTTGGTTTGGTTTGGTTTGTTTTGTTTTGGTTTGTTTTGTTTTGTTTTTTAACGTGGCAGCTAACTGGGGGCTGGAGAGCCAGGTAGACTGCTGTGAGCCGGCCTCAGACAGCCCTGTGCTCTGTGGAGGGACCTCGTGAAGAAATGAATGCGTTTGCTACTGTCTAACAATACTTCCTTCTCACACCCCAGTTGGTATCTTCTTGATTTTTACAAACGCCTCAGGTTTGTTTCCCTGGTTATGCTTTCAGGGTATGTCCTACTTGAGGGATAAGTTTTTATTCCAAGTGGCTATAACCAAATCTTATAAAAATTAAGAGCTTGAGACTTTAATGTTACATGCCTTACGTTATAGTTCTGTTGCATTAATTCTGTTAATGTTCTTTTAAAAATACATAATCGCAAATTGGAGGGGAGGGAAGGAGATATTTTGGTTTGATATTATAAGTGTGTATGGCTATGAGGATCTGACAAACAGCAGCTTTTTCGGGAAATTATTTTTTTTTTCCAGTTTTCAAAATTTTGAATGGAAAAAGAAAGATTGAAGGCTCCTTCCACTGAAAAAAGAGCTTTATTAAGGAAATATAAACTTTATTAACTAAATATAAACTTTATAGAACTAACTTAATTACATAGTTGCCTTAGGGCACAAGACTTAGTACTGATACAATTAATTTTTGTATCACCTGACATCCAAGCTCTACAGAGACATTTACTTTGAACATTTTTGACTATTTTTGTAGTTAATTTCTTCTTCTTTTTTAACAGGAACCTTTACAAAAATGAGACACAATCTGGTGTGTCAGACACCTCCCACTGTCACTGTTCATGTAAAATCGAGTGCATCCAGATCATATCAGCAAAAAAACCTTATTAGACTAAAGCGGCCTACTTTTAAAGACCATGAAGATAATTGTGAAAAAAAGGTTCCTAGTCATAAGTACAAATGTCCAAAGGGACCATGTCTAGTTATTCAGCGTCAGGAAATGACAGCTTTCTTTAAATTATTTGGTAGGTTAATAATGATAGATATGAATGTATTGACCGAATAGTAGGGAATTATTAAGCAAGTATGTTTTCTAAACTCCATGATTTTGGGAGTGCTTTTTATATAGATACTAATGGTCTTTGTCTAAACATATTTTGTTGTTATATTTTAGTGTATAAATATTTAACACATAAGTTAAAAATACTAAAAGGGCTACAAAACTGGTGAAAAGTATATTTTAAAATTACAAATGAAACCAACGTGGTATGATACTTCCTTTTATGATCATTTCCCTTTCCTTTCTCTTTTCTCCTATATTTCAACAAATACATGTAAAACAATGTACATCTTGTTTTACACAAGGCTTAAAAGCTGGACTCCAGTCTTATAAACATGTTATTTATTGTGGGAATAAACGTTTAGGGGGAGAGTGGAACAGGAAGAGAATCTGAGGAGTTGTAGCATCTCTTTTCCATTTGTGTCTCTTTCATATAAAGATTTGTATTTATTTAATTTACTGAAGGGACTAAGTAATAGTAGAAGATTACACTTGGTCTTTATTTGCACTTTGAATACAGGAGTGAATCAGAGAGTTTGTGGTAATCCTGTTATGGTACGTGTTCACAGGCCATGATGCACTGACCACAAATAATCAATCAAGTATTGCCCTATAAAGGCTGTCGGGTAGTCCAGGTGCAGAGATCTCAGCAGTCTATGGTTCATCAGAAATAATGGTATGCTATTAGATGGAACCACTTAATGCAGGAAGAAGTAACAGAAATAGGAAAAATACTGATGATTCTTCACCTTCACTTGCTATTATTGAGAATGAATGAAATGCAGCCTCTAGATTTCCCACCTTGCCCTTCTGGTAGTTTGTCTTCTTTTGTCACCTAATTTTTTTTCATACCTAATCTCTTTCTCCCCTCAGTTTCTCTGTTCTCTGCTGCTGGGTCTAGCTTCTCTCTTTTTATCTGGTTTAATAAAAGGACCATCTGTTATTTATTTACAAATACATTCTAACAAAAACAATTCTGGTGTTTGAAATGCTACAGCTTTCTTTTGTTGCAGATGATGATCTAATCCAAGACTTCCTTTGGATGGACTGTTGCTGTAAAATTGCAGACAAGGTAAATTTATTTCCCCCTTAGTTAACAGAATATATACAGAGTGAAAAATCTGCCCTCAATCACTTGATACTGTAATGCAAATACAGACCATCTTTTTTTTTTTTCAAATGTGTTCATATGGAAGCTTCAAGAAACTCAGTTTATGCTTTTCTCATTGATGAAAATGACCAAAATATCTTGGTGCAAGATAGATGTGCAAAGCATTTTAGGAAATTATGTACTGAGATAATATATTGATCCTTAATAATGAATGTAACATTAATGAATGTAACATTTTACATTTTAAAACAGTATCTCTTGGCAATGACTTTCGTTTATTTCAAGAGGGCTAACTTCACAATAAATGAGCATACCAGAATCAATTTCTTTGTCGCTCTGTAAGTACTTTTAAATTATCTGGTTTTAGTAGGTTTCATTACGACAAACTTTGCATTATTTTATTTCTTTGTTTGTGCCACTGACAATTAGGATATATAATGAGACTTCTTTAATGAGTGTGTAGTTGTTTGGGTTCCATTTGAAGTATAGAAACATAATTTACATATATACAGAATATATGTAAATAGTGCAAATTCAACATTCTTCCTCTGATGACCATGTGTATGGAACAAGCTTGAGAAGCAGTGAGGGGATGTTTGTGTTGTGATGCATAGCCTGGCATTCTGCCTACCAAACTGTAAATCTGTGAACTTTTCTAAGCATTACAAGAAATACATGCAGGACTACACATGGCAATATATATGTTGCTCAACATCCTGTTAAAGACCCTGTTTTCTATCTTTGCCAGCCTTTAAGTCATTTGTAACAAAATGTTCCATCATAATACACACCTTGGGAGTGATTTTTTTTTTAATTAAAGTTTCTGTCAACATGATTTAAGTCAGCTGTAAAAATATTGCTAGAGAATTTCTAAAAACCTTTTTGAACCGTTTGTAAATTTCTGTACTTTGAAACAGAGGTGCAGTCAGGAATCTGTCTTTACCAAGCCTATGTAATCTCTCCATATTTGGCTATATGTACAGAGCATTTTTTTTTTCAGTCGTCTTGTGCTCAGGTCATCTTTTTTTGTTTTAGCTCTTCTCAGATGCTCTGATTTGCACACTAGTTGTTCTTTCTACTGTAAATGATATTCTGGGTAGCATCCATAGAGCGTGGAGGTGGAAGCCATCTGACTCCACTGAAGGGAGAAAAGCCAGGCCAGAAGGGCTAGAGGATTAGAAGGGGACAAAGGGTCTGATGAGACTGGGACTAGAAGTAACATTGGGCTTAGGAGCAAGTGGAAAAAATTGGGGAAGAGACTAAGTGTCATAATATTTTCAGGGATGATTTACAGGAGTTTAGTATCGGGTAGATTCAGAGGAAGTAAATATTTTCCTGTTGTCTGAGAAGATGGCCCAGAACCAAAAGGAGCACATAGTGAAGGGAGGGAGAAATATGGGCATTAAGAAAATAATTTAATGGTTTCATGTACACATAAAAGTAGACCTGTATTTAGTTGTTTGCTGCTAAATTAATGTGAGCAACATAATTTTCCAAGAATACTTAAAATCCATGAAGTAGAAAATGTGAAATTCAAGATTTCGTAAGGTAGTTTTAAGCTTTATTTAGAGAATCAGTCAGAAATTTCATTTTAGTGCAAGGATATCTTGCCAGTTTGGAGAAAGCTGCCAGGATACGCTAGTTCTCACATCTACTGATTTAGGAGACTCTAGGGTAAAGCAAGTTGTTTAATAGCTCGAGTTAAGTTTTTATTTACCCAAAGGATACATATGGAACTTTCTGGTTAAGAAAATACTGTATTTATGAGAGAAGGCTGTATTTTGTTAGCAGTTTTTCTCACAATACTAGGAAAAAGAACTACTTCAATATTATGTCTTTTAATGTTAGAAATCATACTAATACAGTGATTAAGATTGAATAACATTTACAGACACAAACATATATATGTTTGAAGGTATCTGGCAAACACAGTTGAAGAAGACGATGAAGAATCAAAGTATGACATTTTCCCATGGGCTTTGGGAAAAGCCTGGAGAAAGCTCTTCCCTGATTTCTTAAAGTTAAGAGATCAACTATGGAGTAGAATTGACTACAGGGCTATTGTAAGCAGACGCTGCTGTGAAGAGGTAGGGAGGGTTTTAATCTTGTAGATGTCATAATGACAACAGTACCAGGTAACAATTACCTGTATACAAATAATTTCTTCCCTGAAGTGTGTACACAAGCCATGGCAAAGAAAAGATGCAGCTAAAGTGTAATGGTCCATTTATCCTTCATGATTGTTTTTTTCTTCTGATTTACAATCCATTCTTTGAAACTATGCTTTTAAGGCAAACTAGAATATTTTACATTGCACTGCTGTTAAAAGTGAAGTTTTTATTGACTAGAATCTTTCTGCTTTATGCAAATACTTTTATCTAAATTTGCCATCAGTTGTTTCACTTCATTCACTTTAGAAATAATTGTGTGTGTCTGTTTGCTTTACAAATTTTAACTTTGTACACAAGTAAAACCCTCAAATAAAAATCCCAGCAGCTCAGGTGAAATTTTAATCCCTCCAGACTTAATAATATAACTTCAATTGATCTTTTAAGGTAAGGGTTTTTCATTGTATTTAAAAAAAAAAATCAAAAGGACATACTTCTAACATTCTCTACTATTCATGCAGTGTTCCAACCTACATTTTTCAAACATATTAGGAGGGGAAAAAAGACATTCCTTACTTTTCAGGTGCAATGTATCTGTTTGGAAAAGCCCTATCACGTTCTAAGAATATTAATGTTTGCTACAGCTGGTGGAGAAGAAAATCTCAATTTAATGTAAAATCCCATCTCTGGGGATGGGATTAGGTGCCTGTGGGAAAAGTACAAGGAACAAGGGAAGTGCAGAATGCTTTTCCCAGCATACCCTCCCAGCTTCCAGTGGGCATCAGTTTAGTGACGTTGTGAACCAGTTGGTGTTTAGTAGTTAGTAAAAGACACCATCTTCAGTCCAATGTACAAAGCATGAACTGGTATTTGTGATTATTCACGTGAATATACAAGGCTGTAAACTGTTGTGTTTCCACATCTAATTAATAATTGGTTCACTTACATTTGCCTAAGGTGGCAAACTTTCTAAGAGACAGAAGCAGACGGATGATATCCATTTCACCTACGTACTCTTGATTCTCTGACATAGATGAATTAGATCCCTCGTTTTCAGCTGTATGTTTTCCTGTTATTTTTATGCTTTCTGATTTAACGGCTGTTCTGATAGGTGATCGCTATTGCTCCAACTCATTATGTGTGGCAACGAGAACGTTCTATACACCACGGTGGAGCTGTGAGAAACTACAACAATGATGAAGCACAGCTGCCCCGAGGACCTAGTGCTACTCCTACAGACTGCCTGCTTTGTGGTAAGAAAGGAAGATTTGTACGGCTGGGATTATCATCATCTTCCTCCTCATCTACCGGCACTTTGGAGATGATGGAATTGCGTTCATCCCAGAATTCGAAGGACGCCCTTCCAACTGAAAAAATGCTTGTTGACTCTCCTTTTTATTGTGGCCAAGGTATGGTTTAATATTGCAAATAATTTTCAATTAGTTTAGGCAACTGAGGCCATATTTGCCCTTTAGACTTCTGTAGGGACTACTGTGTCCTTGGTACAACAAGACACGATCTCTCTGTGTGAGCAGACATCCCTGTTACAGATGCAGTTACCTTGGCAGAACTCTGCTTTTACTGCCATAGTTTTGTTTTCACATCTTGTCTCTCAACTTCCTGGAAGTACCAACTGCTTTATATTCTGAGTATCTTCAAATTACCTTAATCTACAATGGTAGCCTTTGGGTTGCATTCCAGTGAATCCTATTTAAACACTTAGGATTGGCTAGAACAAACAGTACAAAATACCGGTGTGCGTCATGTGAGTTAGAAGAGTGTGTGTTACGTGAGTTAAAGTGCTCTTGTTGAGAGCACTGTTTTTAGAAAGGGCAGGCTGCTCAGTTGCTGTCATCAGTTTGGAGATATGTTACATTACAGTTTACATTTTCCTTAAGTGTATTTCAATTGTTGACAGAGATTATACAAGATTTCCTTTTAAGACTGGGGTATGAGTAGAAAACAATACAAGAGTTTATTGTGAAAACTGCTTTATGTAATTGAATCTTTGCACGTTAATATGCTCAAAATAGCACCCTGAGCCTTTGTGTGAAAAGCCTCTGTTACATACAGCAGTTATGGGGCAAACACTCATTGTTAAGAGTGGAACACACCTGAACACACACTTCCTGGGGGAGCTGTGTGAGGCCTTAGTTCTGCACAAATACTTCCATGGGCTTGCTTAGCCACTGCAGAGTTCTTCATATACTTATTTAATACAAGGTCACAGTTATTTATAGCTCTATTTTTTATTTGCATATGTTCTCACTAATATCCAAATTTCCACTATTATAGTAGGATTGTGTCTTTGACAGCCTCAGTACAACTGTGATTCTCAAGGGATCCTTCAACTGTGAAAATTTGGCATTTGAATCTTCCTTGAGATACAGAACATGTCAGGTGGCTATGTCATTTAATGTGTTAAACATCACCACATGCTTATTTGAAGACTTATGTGAGACCCTAAAAGACTTAATTTTAAATCTAACTTTACTTGAGAGATCTTGCTTTCTGTATCTGTCAGAGGTCAGAAAAATTGTGTTTATTTTGACCATTTGAGAATGCTTTAATATAGTAAAGTTCACAAATAACCAGGCAAATTTCAGCATGGGTGCTGGAAGTGAACTGAAGCTACATCTGTCAACAATTGGTCTTTTAGTAAAGCTGTGCTTATTTCAAGAAAGAGAACAAATTAAGTGAATTTCAGGTTCTCTTACAGTTGTGCTTTAAGAACATTGTTCTTAAAGAAGCTGATAACTACCACTTGGTAGCCAGTGAAGTCAGAAGCTGCTTCACTTGCATTTCAAAGGGCAGACTTTGATCCATTATTTTTGTACTAAATTTTTTTCTCCTTATTTCTGGTAGACTGTCAGAGCTTGTCCAGCAAAAGGAGACGAGGCAGCACCTTGAACCAAGACCAATCCATGGATTGGTTTACAAGCAATGAAGAATGAAATACACGCGATGAGACAGAAAAAGATGCTGTGCTCTGTGGAACAGTCTGTGTTGCATCACACCACTACGCCTGGTGATTCTGTTAAAACTTTTCCCTTTAAATAGTAGGTGGGATTTCAAACTTTATATGCAGTAGAAATCAAAGCAGTCATTACTTAAAAGTTACACAACTTGGAAAATGTAGCAGCTACTTTGTAACATTTTATTTTATTCTGATACAATACTCAAATTAGCAGCCAACAGCAGCATCAACAAAGCAGTGGTCGAAACTTCCTCAGCTTGGTAAGGAATGCTATTTAAAAAACAAAACCAAGTTATTACTTCAGTATTTCAATATAAAATTATAATTTTATTATTTTGTTTTATTATTTCATTACATAGCATTTCAAATGCTAGTACAAAAAATTGTAGTTTTGAAAATACCACTAAACATTTAAGATAAAAAGAAAATTTCTAAGTGTCTCACCTGAATGAGCATCCTGCCAGTAAGATGGTCTAGCAACATAAGGCACTGAGCAGTATCTTTCAGCATCATCAGAAAGTGATTCTGTGAGAAGTAAATTTTTAAAAAATTATTTCCAACAAGTTTAAAATATACATGCAGACTAGAGTTGCCAATGCCTATGTATTACTTTTCCCTGACATACTTTCATTCTCTTTTTGCTTCTATTAAAGTGCTTTGTTGTCACCTATTGGTACCTTCAGATCTCTCTACTCTTACTATGGATTTTGCAAATCTACATTAGTAGGAGGCATATTTTCTGGCATGATTTTACAAAACAGAGCACACTGGTAACATTTCTTCTGTGGAATCCTTAAACCCATCAGGGTCCTCTAAAGCATTTACAGGATGAGTATAGAGGACTGAATTTTAGTAGAAAATAAAAATTTGAAAAGAGTAGTAGAAGGGCAGTCATTCTTTATTTGCAGATTGCAATTTATTTTCTATTTAGTCTAAATTTTTAGTAAGATATTTAAACTTAAATAACCATTAATATATTCTTCTTCAAACCTGACAAGGTCCAGGCTGTCCAAAAGCTTTTCTATTCTTCACAACAATCTCAGCTAACCTAAGAAAACAGTACTACCTCTTCCTACAAACTTTACCTTTGTTATATCCTTGGATTATCAATTTGCAGAAACAGGATGTCTCATCAGCAATAATGTTCTTACCAGTGTATTCACTTTCTTTAAGAACTACTTGATCCTGAATGTGGATTTCTTCGTATTCCTTTTGAGGTGGTTCTTCAATATTTTCTTGTGTTTCCACCGTTTGGCTTGATTTGCAATTCTTTATTTTAGCAGGTTGTACCAGCCAATTTCTATGAGTTACTTCAGTGATCCTTTCACACAAAAAAGGGAGCTTGCAGGTCCGTATTCTGTCTAAAAGGTCAACAACCTGTGTGATGCTTTTGAAGAAATGCAAAGGATAGAGTAGTATTTCCAAAACTCAAATCATATACACTGTTAGTCTAAATTCTACTGCCTTTGTCATGTTCTTTACTTTTGAGGCTATGCAAGTCCTTTAATTTTAGGCTAAAGGAGCTAGCAATCTGACTACTGAATTGGAAAACAGTACAGATATTCAGAGGATGACATTAAATGAGAACTTCCACTAACCATAACGAGAACGTTCCCAAAGTAAAGGCCAAAGGATCTGGCCAAGTGTAATTTATACTGAGTGCAACTCCCTAAAAAAAATTACAAGGGGAAAAAAAAAATTTAATTAAACATTTCATTAATGCTGAATGTAAATTTTAAAAGATGTTTGGCTTTGTAACAATGTTAGGTGATGCCTGAATAAATGCGTAAGTGCCAGAAGTAAATACTTACTTTGCTAAATACACAGCGCACACACCACCCTCTTTCAGACTTGGGTGTACAACAGGCAGAGCAGAGTGAGGGTTAAGCATATCCAGAACTATCTGCAAGAGAAAGATACAGATGTAAATATTATATCTGTCAATTTTTTCCATAACAATGCTTGAAAAAGCAATGCTTATCTATGGAAAATGAATGCATACAACAGCAGTATGTAATCACAAAACAGTTTTATTACTGCCTCTCAAAACACTAGAGAAACCTGAGGTCAATGCATTCACAAAAAAAAGTCCTTACTACTTCCAAATGAATTTCTATTAAAACAGCAAGTAGCATTTCACCAACAGAGTAGTCCTGTGTTAACATTAAACCTCCTACTAATTAAATTCCATAATGCTGACATTAATAAAAACTTTTAGAAGGCTATATTTACTAACACCTTTGGATATCTAGTTTACAAATGTAAAAAAAAGTTCAAGTGCATCTTTATCATGAAAAGATTACACTACAGTTTCAGTGTCTAACTTGCTGTTTCTTTCAAGATTTAGCAAACTTCTGTCTTAGGCAAGTTATCCATTTTCGGCTAGAAAACTACTCAAACTGTAAAACAATGGGATATGTGATATCTGATCCTTCCTGTGGACTGTTAATGTATACTGTATAATTTATTTCTTTGCTCAAACTGTTTAACACAATTGTTGTTTGTTTAAAGTGTTAATGTAAGTAATTTGCTTTACATGAAAGAGCAGTTAAACACCCATCTGTTTTCCCTAGCACACCTCCCTTTACAAAAATCGGATATAAAAAGCAGTACAGGAGAGCAAGCAATAGTATTCTTTACTCTTAACTTAGACCCTAGTTACATTGTGCGTTCTACGTAGATGGTAGCAAAGTGTTTACATATTTCTATTTTCAAGAAGCTTATGTATTTTTCTTAATTTAATGTTTGAAATATATGCCTCAGACGCAAAAACATCAATTTCTCCAAAATATAACAAAGTTTGTCTTTGTTTACAAGACAGCAGTGATTAACTGTAGTATTTCTGTACTGCAGCCATATTGCTCTTTGATTTGGGAAACTGTAACTGAAACCTTGAAACTACTTGTAACATGACAAAAATAATGATGTTTCTTCCATTGTTGAGGATCTGATTGTTTTTTCTCCTGTTAAACTAGATATGGGAATCCCATTGCAAGTGTGAGCACTAGGGGTTTTAGTTTATGCAGAAGTGTCAAATGAGGGGATTTTTTGGACTTACTGCGTCAAGTGTTATAGATTTCATATCCACAGCAGCTGTTGAAATGTCTTTAAGAATGAAATCCACATTGTCTGGCCACTCTTCCTTATGTCCTATTTCCCATGCAGCACGCCAGTGCCTGTAATTCTTCTTAGCTAAATTATGATGATCGTCTCTCGCTTCGTAACTTATAACACGTCCTTTGGGCCCAACTGGAAACAAACAAAAGATACTGGACTTACTGCTTTCCCCCTGTAATAAAGAATTTAGAAAAAAAAATAGCATAGGAAACAACAAAGTACACCATTAAATATCACCTTCACTTTAGGAAATAATGACATATGAAACAATCAATTACAGTTTATTTTTTCTTTACAAGAAATATATGCAGATAGAGTGCAAATATATGCAGATAAGAGTGCTGGGTTAGTTCTTTTACAGACTGAAATCCATCAATACACAGATTAAATAAAGCACAGTTACAGTAATACAAACTGTTCCTACAATGTCCTCCCAAAATAACTCCTGCAGCAAAATACGACTTCAGCATCTGTGACCCCATCAATCTACGATTCTTCTCCAGCTACCAGAGGTAGCAGCTGAGAAAGCTGCAACATCGGTCACTATCAGAGATGCTAAAGCTGACAGACAGTGACTCCTTCTGTTGTTAGTAAGATTTGAAACTGCTGGTTTTAAATTTTTTTGACAAACCTAATTTTTACAAAGGTTTGCTGTTTTCCATGCATAGTTCTTTCTCCACCTGTCCCTGCTTAGGGTTGGGGAAAGGCTGAGAAAACCCCCTCACCTGCTCACTGCTCTTGGCCCCTTAGACAGGTTTTCAAGTGTACTTTTCGATTTACACAGGCTTGTGTTGTTTTCCTGTTATTGTCTGTAACAAATTACTTTATTACTTGTTTAAAGTATAAATTTACTGTCCTGAAATTTACCATGAGTCCAATACACAATATTCTTCATAAAGGAAGTGTTACGAGGAAATCCAGGCACAGACAGCAGCACGTGCATTGCTGTATTATTCTATCCTTGTATTACTCTAATTTCTCAAGCCTATTACACCATGAGCTTCTCTTCCTCCTTGCTACTTTTTAACAGGCAAGGACAGCTTTCAGCAGCTCAGCAGGCGAGGTTCTGTGACTTTTTAAACTATTTTAGTTTGGAGTCACCAGGCTCCTTCCCTCCCCTCAGTGATCCCACTGTGAATCCATTCAGAAAACTGAATAAAAGAAAGGATGGTTTTCCGGCAGTCTCTCCCTGATCTAGCTCACCCTGGATCAGACAGAGGTCAGAGCCAACAGGTAAGGAGGGAAGATTTCAGCAGTGTCACCTCTGATCATCTTAAACAGTTGTAGAATCACAGCACCGACTCCTTATTGATCAAGATTATCAGGTTGGAACTATTGGAAGAATAAAATCCTTCACATTAGGGTCAGTCTTATTCCCTTCTCTGCTCATTCAAAGAAGTTCCTACATTTTGAAAATGACTTCTGGAAAAACAGCTACTTAAAATAGCTAGGCAGAACTCTTCATTATTGTGAGGATACAGTATTATCAAGTTTGCATACATCCTATTTTCCCATTTTCACAGACCTTGAAGTCATGGCAAATGCCACATTCTTAACACAGTCTTAACTTTGTCCTGTTACATGTCAGTAGGTTTCTGGGAAAGATTAATGGAGGAATGAAAAATAAAATATTAAATGAGAGTAACACAAAGAGAGATTAAGGAAACCTGTTAAATAAATTAGTACTTTGGAAATTCAGTACTTCCAAGGACCTTGGTAACGTGTCCACTAGATTTAAATTCCAGTATTTACCTGTGTAACAGCTATTGTTCTTGTTGGGTATCACTGTATTGAATGGTGGCAAAATTTGCCACCATTAGGAAAGAGCAAATCAAATCTATTTATTTCTGGGTCAGCACC